TGCCATGCCATGTGGTCACCTCCAGGGCAGGCGGGGATCGAACTCATGCGGAAGTGGCTTTAGCTTCTTATTGCTGTGCTTTAACCCACTGCACCATCAGGGGGGCCCCAGTATTAACATATTTTGTTGACTATTTCTTTTACTGTACAGAAACTTTTTAATTTGATGTCCTGTTTATTAAATTCTGCTTTTGTTGCTTGCACTTTGGGTAGCCTGTCCAGAAAGTCATTGCCACAACCAGTGACTTTTATGTTTAAATCTATAATCTATTTCAAGTTATTTTTTGTGAGTGGTGTTAGAGCTCCACTCTCATTCTTCTGCATGCAGATATCACGTTCCCCAGCACCACTTACTGACCCATGACCCTTTCTCCATTAGGGTATTCTCGACTCCTTGGTCAAGTATTAGTTGACTGTGTACAGATTTACTTCTTGGCTGTCATTTGGGCATTGAGAGGATTCACCAGAGAGAGATTGGGTAGCAGAACAGGCAGGTTGACAAAGTACACTGCTGAGGGGAGCAGCGGGTGATCAGGAGAGGTCTGTCGTACCATGTGGGTCAGCTCCCTGGCTGGGAATCCAACTCATGTTGAAGTGGCTTTAGCTTCATTTAGTGCTGTGCTTTAACCTGCTGCACCACCAGGGAGGGCCCTATGTGTCTATTTTTATGCCAGACCATTTGTATTACTTTGTAGTATAATTTAAAGTTAGAAAGTTCTTTGTTCTTTTTTCAGGATTCCTTTGGCTTTTCAGGGTTTTGTGTTCCATCCAAATTTTCGGATTGTTTGTTCTATTTCTGTGAACGCTTTGGGTTATGAGCCTTGTAACAACTCACTTCTTCCAATCCATGAACACAGGAAAATTTTCCATTTCTTTGTGACCTCTTCAGTACATTTTATTACTGTCCTCTTTACCATGTACAGATGTTTCTAGGTTAAACTTATTCCCAAATATGTTATTGTTTCTGTTGCTATTTTAAATGAGATTATTTTCTCTACCTCTTTTTCTGGTGTTTTGTCTGTGGATATAAATGTCCTCTGCACCTTTACTGAATCAGTGATTATATCTGTTTTTTTGGTGGAATATGTAGGATTTTCTGTAGATAAGATACCATAGCACAAATATTATTATCTTCTCTGTAGATGAGATCTTTATGCAGAGTTAAAATTTTTCTCTTTGAAAATTATTTCTTCCCTGGCAGTGGCACACAGGTGTTTGTGGCCCTTGGTTGCTTGTTCAAGTTTTGTCACAGGTCATGATCGCCTTCCGCAGCATGTGCTAGTGACCAGTGGAGATGAACAAAGACATGCTGCTTCCTGCCCTCAAGGAGTTTTACTTGAGTCTAGAGGTCGAGACAAAGGAAAATGAAACCTCAAAGTGTTGCTGGGTTATGCAGCTGACACGTGGCCCAGAAACACTGGCCAAAGTGCAGGACATTTGGGTAAAAAGGCAGCTGACACAGCATTTCACATCCACCTGGATGCACACTTTGGGGAGTATCTGTGCCATTTTACCTTGTCGAGGAGGTCACCTGCTGAGCCGCCCTCTTTCCCCAGGGATTGAGCAGATAGTGGTCCTTAGTCCTACCTGGCGAGGGCATGAACCCAAGACTGGAAGATTTTATGTAGCTCTTTGTATTCCGGACAAAAGAAGAAACGGCTGTTTATTATTTTGTCCACAAACTTGAAAGTGGCCAGAGGAGGATGCCTTCTCAGAGCAGAGGCTCTCCACTGCCTGGGGCCCTGTGTGTGGATTTGAAATCAGCATATTTACTTAGGACAAGTGATGATGCCCGATGAATACTGAAAGCTGTTTTGATCTTACAAAATTTACTATCTGTGCACCTTGGGGGAGCAAACACAAATTGTGGGCTGGTCATATTTAGTGCTTATTTACGAGCTTTATTTCCCTTGCTTCCTCCAATTTGCAAACACCGAGAGGGCGTCATGGCCAGATTTCAAGGGCCATTGGCAGCAAAAAAGCTCTAGCAACATGCTACAGAGACCCCCCAGAAACTGCCACCCCTGGGAAGTCTGTTGGCTTGCGAAATCGAATGGCTGGCTGCATTTAACCGACAATATGAGGTTTTTAGGGAAGAGTACTCTATTCACTCTGGTTTTAAAACAAAACCAAAGCTCATTTAAATATAAACATTGCACACACCTTTGAAAAATTTTAATTTTCTTATTAAGTGGCCATCACTAACGTCCATTCTGTGTTGGTGTTGAGTAAACACCAGGTAGATCAGCCACAGGCCACGTAGCCCCACGTAGTCCAACCTCTTACAAACCTTTTTTCGTTTGTACGTCCACCCCCTTTCTTTCTTAGGGTATTGCAGTTGTGGTAAAAATCATTATGTTGGTGTGCCTCATGTGGGCTAGTGTCTTGATTTCCAGGCACTGGGAATGGAGAGATGACAGTGATGTTCTTTTCTCTCTGGAGGACTTTCTGATAGACTTTGGCTGTCTTTTTATGCACTGCCCTGTGATGAGTCTCACCCCACACAAGAGATGCAAACAGCCTCTTGGCAGCAGGGCTGGGACTAGAGCCAGGTCCTGAAGTGTGTGGGCGTCATTCTCTGGTGTCACTCACGGGACTGTTCACCCTGATGTGAACTTAGGTGGCGAACATCTCTGCAGACTTACCTAGCACTTGCAAAAGTTTCTCCTTCCTGGCCTTGGAGGAGTCCATGGTCCCTGTCCTTCTGTGCTTCCTTGAAGCTCAGGGATGTGGCCTTTTCAGTTCACAAGTTATGAGCCTTTTGTCTGATACCTGAAACCAATGGGCAGCATTTGACCCTATTACTAAAGGTGCTGCTTGAAACCAAGGTATTTCTCTTATCTCTCTCTCTTTTTAGAAGATTTGTTTACTTATGCATACAAGAACTGGTGTACAGGCCAGAGATGTGGGGGGGGGGGGTAAAAGGATTCACTAGAGGCAGAGTGGGGAGCAGAACAGGCAGACTGACTGAAATACACTGCTGAGGGGAGCAGCAGGAACAGCCCGTGAGACAGGCGAGGTCTCTGCACCTCTGGGTTAGTTCCTGGCCAGGGATTGAATTTGTGTTCCCTTTTCTCCACCAGGGAAGCCCCAGGGTATTTCTCTTTTAAAAGTCATTAAATGTTATGATAAGAGAGCTTTTATTAAGGTGAGGGTTTTTTAACAGGTGTAATGTCCCAAGAAGGCAGGATCAGATTATGTTAATTTACCTCCCATCTTCACATGTTTTAGCTCTGTATGAAGCACCCCTTCTGGAGGAGGGAGCAGTGATATGGGGGGGCACTCATGATAGGGGTTTGTGAGTTTGTGTCTGCCTTCCTAGGTAGGTCATGCTGGATGGGTACCCCCTTCCTCTCCTGGAAGGGAGAAGATCCATATTCTAAGTGGAGAGAGACCTGGCGCTGGGTGGGGATCTTTCTCCATAACCTGCAGGAAGGTATGGAGTTTGCATCTAAAGAGTATCTCCCTCTGGTCCTTGGTGTTACACTGCCTCGCTTACCTTCAGTTGCTGGAAGCAACTGGAACATACACCTTCTTGGTGGGGTCTTGATGGCAAGTGTACAAAATTTGAGTTTCCACTGGGTATTCCTCTGTGCCTAGGCAGAATGGTGCCCAGGTACTCAGCAGCTCCCGCATTCTGCTCTGGCAGTCTACACCATCATCTGTCTGCGTCGTCATTTCGTCATCACAAGGACTGACTTTCTGGGCCCTTGCGTTTCTCTTTCAGGTCGAACTTCAAACTTGTGGCTGTCAATTCAAAACTCTACGCCATTGGTGGGCAGGCCGTTTCTAACGTTGAGTGTTACAATCCTGAGCAGGATGCATGGAATTTTGTGGCCCCCTTACCAAACCCTCTGGCTGAGTTCTCGGCATGTGAGTGTAAGGGGAAGATTTATGTCATTGGAGGCTACACCACAAGAGGTGAGTGAAGGGCCAGGGAAGTGGGCCCCTTGGCTGGGCAGTCGAGGGGAGGGTGGGAGGATGAAGGCCTGGGTGCACAGGTGACTCAAGGCATCACATTCTGGAAGGAAAATTCCTGTCTGACAGCTGGAGGTGGGGAGTCTTAGTATGCACATGTAAATTGTACAGGGAGGGAGCATGTGAAGAAAATCAATATTCTCTCTGCCCTATAAAGCCAGCCTTGTGGTCTGCCATCCTGGGATGTGGCTGGGGCAAGCTCATATTTTCCAGAAGGCCCTGAGGCCCTGTCCATCGCTGTGGGGGTGTAGCATGCCAAAACCCTGTAGATGCCTAACTTCACTGACACCCTTGAGCAAACGGTATCAGATAAGATTCTAGAAACTCAGCTTATAGCAGTTGTTCACATGTCTTAGTAGGAACAGCAACACAAATTTAAGAGAATTGTGTCCAGACCATGTCCAGACCATGGTTGTGCTTTTCATTAAACCCTACACATGGGGATTTTGCTTTTTCGATGGGCATTGGGTAGTTAACAGCTTGTAGGTAAGTTTTCTCAGTAGGTTCCTTAGTGCTCTTCTTGTAGGCAGCGGCTACCCCTGACAGGAACAGAGGCCAGCCTGTTGAGGTAAGAAAGGCTATGGTAGATGCTGGCCTTCCTTTGTCTCCCCCATGCCCCCGCTAGGAAAAGGAATTGCTTCCAATTTTTCTCTCTTGACTGAGAAAATGTGGTCATTTAGTCTGACTGACTAGAGAGCCCAGAACTTACAGAGAAAGCCTCGCTGTACTCTCAGCACTTTTCCTTGTAAAAGCAGTCACAACATGACCCTGGTTATATTTGACACAGAAACAAGCATCATTCCTGGGTGTCCCTTGTGGCAGGGCGGCTCTCTAGGCTGGCTGAGGGCACGGGTGGAGAAATGATCCACAGCCCCGTGAGGCTGCATGTGATTTTTGCATAGGACAGAATCCACACGCTCCTGTAGTGCAGTGCCCCAGATCTTTCTCACCACAACCAGGTGACTCTTGAATCTCATTTGGTATTTAAGTTAGATCATTTGATGTACTATTTTTGGGGGGATAGCAAAAGTCACACACTTCTTGGAGAACCTCTGAATAGTTGATTTGTTGGGAGGGTGGTATTTTAGTTTCTTGCTGCTAACTTGATAAATGACCAGAGATATGTGTGGTCTGAAACAGCAGACAAGTCTTTTCTCCTAACTCTGGAAACCAGAAGTCCAAAATCCAGGTGTTGGCAGGACATGGGGGGGGGGGGGATGTCACAGAGGGTCCTGCTACCTTTTCCACACTAAGACTCCAGGTTCCCTTAGCCATTGTCTGTGTGACTCCCATCTGCCTCTGGCCTCACCTGTCTTCTCCTTTGTCTGCGCCTGTCTCTTCTGTGGACACTGTGTGTTGGGTGTGGAGCTCTGGTCATCCCCAATGATCTCTTGAGAGCTTTTATTGAATTACATCAACAAAGACCCATTTTCCAAGTAAGGTCATTTCAGAGGTTGTGGGGACAAGTAAATGGACCTTTCTACTCATTACAGTTGGTTTATTTATGTATTTAAGGACAGGCTCTGACAGTGAGGCGAGCAGGGGAAGCCATGAGCTTCTTTATCTGTCCCATGTTCTTGTCGCCTGCACAGCTGTTCCTGAGTCCCTCCCAGTGCCTCTCCATTGAAGACAGGATGACTGCTAACTTTTACCTAGTGAATGTTTTGGTCATGAGACCCAGTTGTCATTTTTTGACCTTCAACATGGATGTGCCCAGGGGTGACTATAGGTGTTGATGAGGCCAGAGACACCCAGGGAATTCTCAGGTGTGTGTGCTGATAAGTGTGTCATTTCCCTGGGCACGTCCAGAATCTCTTGGTGGGGGTGCTGGTTCCCCTCTAGACACAGACTGCCTCTGGGGACTCACGGGAGATGCTTTTCTTCAGATAGGATGACAGGTAGCCCTGCAACCCCAAGAGGACACTGCTGGGAGATGTCCTGGTTTCTCTGACCCTGGCAGAGAAAAGGTTCTTTAGATTTGACCTGGAAAACCCTTGCTTGGGTGTTTTCTGGTTTCACCAGCCATTACTACTGTCCTTCTGTCCTCTGGCCACCCACAGTGATTTCTGTCCTGGATTCCCCCAGCCAAACACCTTGATGGGACATTTAGGAGAGGTGAGCGGACGGATGTTTGTGTAAAAGTGTTGAAGACTAGTTTGCTGAGACGAGAACCCCTCCTCCGCTGTCTGGGCTCATCCCAGCACTTCTTATAGTTCTCTGTTCATAAAACAAGGAATCATAACTATCGTGTGAAAAAGAAACGGACTAAAGGCTGGGTGCTTAGCCTGCTGAATTCTCAAATTAGGTGAGACTTTTAAAATTCTGTAAGTCATAATTCATGATTTTTATGATAGCTGTTTGATTATTTTAGTTCTTTGGCAGGCACTGAAGACATTAAATTCAATAGAACTTAGTAGTAACCGCTAAAGGGAAAAAGGATGATTTGTTATACTTCAGAATCAACTGTAAATGCAAAAGCGCAAAGATCATTCCACCAGCTCCAACCACCTCATCATGGTCTGAGCCCTTGTTGGGTGAGCAGAGAAAACATTTACCGAAGACCTGGAAAGACCTCCAGGCTGGGAACTGAGAAGTGCGGTGCCTTGGGCTAGAATAAGCCCTTTATTCGTGCCTGGGGGGACGCCAGGGTACTGAGGCGCTCCTCTGGAGAGATGAGTCACGAACTCCCCCCAGCTGCCTCTTAGAATGAGCTTTATCACAATACAGTAAAAAGAAATCCAGTGTGGTGTGAGCAGAGGGCAGAAGAGCAGTTCCTGGAAGCCCACTGTTCTGAGTGTGGATGGGCTCCCGAGAGCCCGGCCAGCACTGGCCTTCCTTTCCCGCCTGGGTGCTGTGGGGTGCACTTGACTTAGTGGCAGACACCCTCTGGAACAGCGTGGCAAGCACCGCTCACTGTGGCCTCTGCCTCAGAGGCAGCGCCACCCCCTCCCTTACTCCCCCACTCCTTACATGGCAGGGGGGGTGCCTGTTCCCCACCTAGCTGTCTCTTACACATATAGACAAAAACAACCACAAACAGAAAGTTCATTCTCCCTGATAAATCCGGAGCAGCTATTTTCCTGTTGAGGCTAGAATATTCAGTTTATTCTTCCCTAGAGGAGAGCAAAGGAAAACATTAAAAAAAGAAGAAAGAAAGAAAGAAAGAAAGAAAATGAGGGCTCTCCCTGGTGGTGCCAACAGGTTAAAGTACCACTTTATGAAGCTCTCCAAAGCCACTGCAGCATGAGTTCCACCCCCAGCCAGGGAACTGACCCACATGGCGTGGCAGACCTCTCCTGACCTGCCTGCTGCTACCCTCAGCAGTGTATTTCAGTAGATCTGCCTGTTCTGTTCCCCACTCTGGCTCTGGTGAATCCTCTCACCCACCATATCTCTGGCCTGTACCCCAGTTCTGTAAAAAAAAAGAAAAAGGAAAGTAGATAGCCTCGCAAGCCTTTTTCAAAAAAGGGAATGGGCTACAGCAGTTTCCCTGAAATGCAAATGATGTCAGAGCAGTCCCTGGTCTCCTCTCTGATGTTATCCACACACTGGCCAAAGTCTCCTGTGGGTGCCCGGTGGGTTACCACGTGTGGTTGTTGAGGCCCCAGGTGGGCCTGCAGCATTTTCCCTGACTTGAGATTTTATGACTTATGTCCTTTGCAACATCTTGAATACCCTGCCCCTTGGGTTGTTTCACAGGATTAGGGATCAAGGGTGGGCGCGCAGTGGTGGGTAAGGGCTGGAGCCCCTATTCCTTGTATACTGACCAAATTGTCAAGTGCAGGAAAGGGCTCAGGTCAAGGTGGTCAGACCACCTTGCTCCTCTCCGTGCCATCCTGATTCTGAGGGTACCCCAGGAGGGTGCCCCCTAAGTGGGGGTGAGCGAACAATGCCTGGCTTTCCCAGCCTCCCCTGGGAGATCTGCCGCGAGAGTGGGCAGCAGCAGGGGCGTAGGCACGTGGTTCTCACGCGCCTCTCTCTTGCTTGCAGACCGCAACATGAATGTCCTGCAGTACTGCCCAGCCGCCGATGCCTGGACGCTCTTTGAGACGTGTGATGTGCACATCCGCAAGCAGCAGATGGTGTCGGTGGAGGAGACCATCTACCTGGTGGGCGGCTGCCTACACGAGCTGGGCGCAGCCCGCAGGAGCAGCCAGAGCGAAGACATGCTCACCGTGCAGTCCTATAACACGGCCACTCGGCGCTGGTTGTACCTCAAGGAGAACACGTCCAAGTCAGGCCTGAACCTGACATGCGCGCTGCATAACGATGGCATCTACATCATGAGCAGAGACGTCACCCTGTCCACCAGCCTGGAGCACCGCGTCTTCCTCAAGTACAACATCTTCTCCGACAGCTGGGAGGCCTTCCGGCGCTTCCCGGCCTTCGGACACAACCTCCTGGTGTCCTCCCTCTACCTGCCCAATCACACAGAGGCCTGACTACCTGCCAGGGTCTGCGCAAGGATGCTAGGCAGCACCCAGGGTAAAGGAGGCCCGTCTCCAAAGAGAAAAGAGGGCTGTCAGCCTGTCACGGGGACCACAGCTGTTAACAAGCTTCCCTCAACAAATGACTTGAAAACTTGGGGGACCAGAGACCAACTTTTTAATTTTCGATTTTTTCCATGCTGGGAACACATTCACGATAATGTTTTCATTCAAGTATCACCCCCTTGGGCCAGTGACTGAGTCTGATGGGTCCTGTTAGTAGATTCATGGAGTCTGCTTAGTCACTTAGTGAGAGACCAAAGTCAGAAACGGGTGCAAGTGGTCAGATGATCTTAAAATCAGTTTTAGTTAGGTCACTTGAAATATCTGTGTGAGATTTTTGTTGTTGGTATTAATTTAGTTGGCAGGTATTTACATTATTTTCCCCTCCCTTCTTCCATTCATACCCATTTCTGCCTGTAGTGTTCTTAGACTAGGGTTCTATGGTCAGATTTTTACACACCACTTTCCAGGGAACTTACACTGATAGGGATCATTGCATGCAAATATCCAGTCCTGCCAAAACTTGCATTTAAACATTCTCAACTGTTTTTCCAGTCTTTTTGGCAATTTCAAAATGCTGAGTAAATGGGCTGATATCACCTCTTTTGCTGAAGTGACAGATTGCAGACTTACCTGGTCAGATATATTGCATTGCTAGGGGTCTGTTACGTAAAAGATATATTGTCTAAAAGTATGGCTATATATATATATATATATATAGATATATATATATATATAATCTTATATATACACATACACACACCTGCATGGACTTATGTATATAGGCTTATGCATGTGTGTGTGTGTGTGTATATGTATAAAGTTGAGTCTTAAATAGGAAGAGGAGGAAGCACCAAATGAGAAAACAAATTGTCTTTGAAGAGTTAGGTTTATTGAATCTATTTGACTTAGTTCTATTAAGATTGAAGGCATTATCATGCTTAAATCAAGCCCTTTTTTAATTGAACCTTTGCCTTTAACTTACATTTTGCTTTTGTGGGGTGAGGTGAGTTGAGCTGTGAAATTCTGTCTGTAGAGATGGGAGGAAGCCCATAGAGGAATGGCTCTGAGGGTATTTCTGAAATTCAATTCTGGTTCCACTTTCGAGCCCAGCTCATGCAGTATTTATCCTCAGTAAATCAGTGAGCAATGAAGAGGAGCTTCTGCCCATCATAGGTCAGCATTTCTGTAAAAATATATACACATACAAGCATTATATTTCCATTGAAAATTGCTTCCTGAAATTCCCCAAACTTTGTAAAGGAGTCAGTTGAATTGTGAGCTGGACTCCGTCTTTCATTCTAACATCCCAGTTACATAAAGTTGAGAAAGTCCCACAGAAAGGCAAGAGCAACATCCACACATTCAGTACACGCTTCGGATGCCTTGGGTGCCGCCAGTCTGCATTGTCGGTGCTGCTGGGGGATGGGGAGCGGGTCCTTCCAGAGTCCTTCAGTTTCCACAGGGAACACCACATGGTGTCCGTACAACCAAGGCCTCCTGTTATTTAATGTAAGGGTCCAGCTGTATTACATTTGCACTGCTTTTCAAGAATACTTGTATTAGGTAAAATGAGGAAAGCCTTTAAGGTGGATGTGAACACAGATCTTTGTATCTTGTCTCTAATAACCCTACCACCACTCTCCTTAAGACACTATTTAAGGCTTTCTAAGTGGATCCCAGTTATTCAGATATTTAACCCTTTCTTCCCCCAAACTGAAATCTTCCTGGGAATGGTACTTTAACAGTAGTTAAATATTAATTTATATTCATTATAGACTTGAATTCTCAGTACTCATAATTTCATGACACATATGTAAAAGTATAATTTATATTAGATATTGTTAATTATTTTGCTCAGAGGTTAACTTTCATAAGGTTTATCCTTACCAATTCAGGAAATTCTAGTACTAGTCAGGTGAATTAGTACTGGATAAACAATTGGAGCAGAGTTTTTAAAGTAAGCACATCATGCAAAATGCAGTATTATTTCCAGTTATCACTTTTCTCTCTGATAACATTCTGTGGGTCTACTTTCCCAATGTCAACAACTAGATTCTTGGACCACATGAAGGCATAGTCTGATCCACAAAGGTCTTTTTGATATGTGTGTATGTGCGCAAGTGTGTGTGTGCGCGCAAGTGTGTGTGTGCTGGCCTGTTACAGCTCTAAGACACAGACTTCTAAAACGGCCTTATTACTCCATCTGCTAGCTGTGTGTGGGCCAGATGGAGTGTGCAGCAGGAAGAGATTCATGCATGTGGACATCTTCCTTCCTCTGTGGACATCAAGTCTGTTGACATTCGAGGGTGATTTTAACCCTGCTTTGAGCTCTTCCACGTGACATTCCATAGAAGACTACCCATGAGGGAGGCAATGTTCCATTTAAAATCTCCCCTGTCCCCCAGGCCTTTGGTCTTGTAATAGTCTTTCCTTTTATTCCCTTCTCTAAATGCTTTATCCTTCTTTTCTGAGGTGCTTTCAGGTGTTCTGACTTTCACGAGGAAGAGAGGAGTTTCTGGGACCCCCAGTGGGAGCTGCCCTGCAGAAATCATGTGTTTTGCAGAGAATAATTGGAAGGCGAGTGAGTGCTGAGTAGATTAGTAGAAGGAGTCTGTTGGGTTCTCCGTCATTCCTTCTGGTTTTCCTTTCAACACCCTTCATATCTGGTGACATTTTTCTGATGACTGTGTGAGAGTCCATTATTTCAACAGTTTGTAACAATGAACTACTGAGAAGTTTATGGATATTAGAAAGAAACCTGATTAAGCATGAATACCAAAGAGAATGGAACCCTGTCATTGCTTTTGAACCAAAATTGCATAACTCCAAATGCCTTAGGTATCACTTCAGGTTGTCCTGTGTAGCCTCTGCTGGTTCTCTGCAAAGGGAGTGATAAAGTAAAAAAAAAAAAAAAATGCCTATTCTCTTTCAACAAAGTTACTCACTGAGATGGTGGAGGCAGTGTCTGCAGATTTCCAGGTACAGTTGGAACCCCACCTGCATGGCCACCAATTGAGGAGAAAGGCCATGCCCTGCTCAGCCAGCATATTGTGAGCAGCAGCTTCCTGCAGAGCCCCCAAGAGGCTGCAGAACCACAGAAAAGGACATGGGTGAGTTGTTGGCTGCCTCTCTCCTAGACCAGGGCTGGGGAGCACATCACACCTGTGCCCACATCTGCCAAGGAGGCATCACATGTGGGTGTCATACCTTTCCTCTGGACCAGGACTGTTTCCAAATCCATGTCACCAGTGTCTCCAGGCATTCATTACCTGTCCCCTGAAGTAGACAGTGCCTCAGAAGAGTGAATGAATCTGGTGAGTAAATACCATTCCCAGTGGCTGAAGACAGGAAGTTGATTCAGTTCAGCTTCTTGGTTCCCAGAAAACCTGCTGAGTGTCAATTCCTGTGTAAGACGACGCCAAGACCAGGGATACAGACACAAATAAGCCGCTGCATCTGCCACTGAGTTGGTGTTCACCACAGTTGTGACTAGACCACCATTCTGGAAGATGCCCCCTTTCGTCAGGCACCCTGTTCTGTCCTGGTCTAGTCTGTCCACCACTTCATTGTTTACTAACAATTGCCATGACCCGGCTTTTCTCAGAATTTGGCTGTCACATCCTATATTTGTATTTTTCATAATACTTTTCTCCTCACTACTCATAGTTTTCTGCATACCTCATTTTCCTGAGAAAATCATATATATCACCTATTTAAAAATACCTAGATAAGGCACCATGGCCTTTGGAGCTAAGGGCTTAGCAGCTTGATCACATGACAAAGAGGAGTGAAGCCTGGGTGGTAAGTCCTGGGAGAGGCAGGCTGGTTGCATGTGCATTTAAACCTATGCCTTTAAAACACATCCACACGCAGTATTAATAAAAGTTCCTTAAGGCACAAGTCCTGTCTCAAAAGTTGGTTGATTTTGACTTTGTGATTTTAATTACCAAAAGGTATTTTGTCATTCTTAGGTTTCCTTCACATGAAAGTATTTGATTTTCATTTTCTTGTGTTAACTTAGAAACACAAAGTAAAAACACACATGCTGACACCTGCTGACTGTGCTTACACGAGTGTTTTTATCCATTCCCACAGGAGATAGATCCCATGAAAAGACAGTCAGTGTTAAGGGGCGAAAGGTATCATGGTTTATGCCTCGAGAAGAAAAGGAAAATAACTTGCATTGTGTCATTTTTCTACAGTGTCGATAAGGGATTTTTAGATGTCTGTGTGATGTTACATATCTAGTGGTCATCTAATGGTCATCTGTAGAACATATATAGTCACATTTTGTTTTGACAGATACCTTTGTTGAAAAGGTTGTTATTGTGTTTCCAATTTCAAGTGTGGCTTAAAAATGTGTACATTATCATGAATCTTTTAAATACAAAGATCCCTATGAGGCACTCAAACAGCATTCTTGTTGTGTTTATAACTAGAACTACAGAAGAAAATGTCTCCCAATAAAAGAAATTGGTCCCAGGAATAAGCGAACACTAACTAGTTCCCAGACACTTCAGTGGAGGAGGAGGGGGCGGTGGACACAACAAATACACCCAGCACTGATGGAGCTCTTACTCTGCTTAGGAGGCTAAGCATCCTTTATGTAACATTAAATCCTCACAACAATGCCAGCTGGTAAATATAGATACATCCTTATTTTTACACCCTAGGAAAGTGAGGCACTAGAGGTCACAAGTCGCCATTCAGGACTAGGGAAGAAGCCATATGGTGGTCCAGGCTCCAAAGGGCAAACTCTTCCCTGTGGAGGGATGGGTGAAGGCTGCCGGCCTGCTGGAGTTTATTTCCAGTCCATCTGGGGGTTCTTAGATCTGCAGCATGCAGCTCTGTGGCCATGGCTGTGCCATGTGGCACCCTATTTTGTGGGTGTGTGTAGAAAAAGGCCAAGGATTTCCCTAGTGACTGGGGAAACCGAGACTCCACTTTGCAGGCCATAAACATTTCCTTGGCAAAAAAATTTTCAAGACCTAGTTTGATGCTGGTAGCTCTGAGAGCCAAAGTCAAGATGTGGGGTCCTTAACTGAGCCCCCCTCTGATTTCTGTCTCTTGGCTGCTTATGCTCTGCCTCAGCTTACTGGCTCTTACCAGCTCTGGAAAAACCCAAGACCCTGGGTCTTCCCTTGCCAGACTGCAGCCCTGGTATGTGGGTTCAGTAGAAATGATTACCTGTTTGTGGTGGCAGGAGCGGTTACCCCCTGATTTCTTTGGCTCCTCCCAAGGCCCATCTACAATATTTTCCTGACCGATCATGTGTGTTTTGTTGAAACAAAGACCCTGGCTCTTGAGATTCTGCAAGGCACATTCTCGCTGACCCAGCATGATCTCTTGGTTGCAGGCAGAGGATTAAAATTACGGCCAGATTAAGACTGGCTGTTTGCTTCTCAGTTCTGCTGGTGAGGTTACTGCATCGCCCTGGGCCTTGGTTTCTTTATCTGTAACATCGGAACAACACCACCATTAACTCTACAGGATTACTGTGGAAACTGAATGAGGAAATGAATGCACGGGCATTGGGCATACCCGCAATGGATGTGAGTCAATATCCAAAGCCATCAGCTATTTATTTCAACTAGGGGAACTTAGCTGACACCTCCTGCCTTTCTTCCAAAGCCTGAAGCCAGTAAGAGGTAGTTAAGAAGTCCGAAGATGCTGATGGGATTCCATCTCTTGTCTCAGAAGTTCACTTGCAGTGTTCAAATGCCACAGACCAAGCCATGTCCCCGGTTGCTTGCTTGCACACGAGGCGGAACCCTCACCATCCCACCCACATGGTATTCCAGCTTTTAGATATTGGTGCCATCCTCTCCCAAGTACCTGGCCTTTTGGTTAAGACTTTGATGGGATCCTCCAGGTAATGTGTCCAGCCCTGTGGTCACCACTGTGGCTAGGGGAAGGAAGGAGAAGTGCCAATTCAATGTGTGGAATGGATTTGGACTTTAGGTAACGGGGGTTTCAGATAACCTACCAGACGTAAGGGGTATCTGAAAGTTGACTCCCCAAAAGGCATCTGGACTATCTGCTGATGGAGCTGAGCTAATTGTGTTATTTATAGCAGGGAGGACACCACCTTGACAGAGTCTTAGTCATGTTACTGAAGGGGGAGCCTGGGGTGCAGGTCTGGGCTGGGTGTTTTTTTTAATTTTTTTTTATTTTTTAACATAATAGTTTATTCTTACATCATTTTGTGCCTTTTTCCATCTTAGTTATTGTGCTGGGTGATTTTAAAGAAGGTCTGGTGACCACAGAATTTATGATATGAGTTCTAGGTACAGTGCCTTTTGGGCATGGTGCAGGGTGATCTATGAAGCCTGTCTGGGTGGGAATCTGTATTGGGAACAAGTAAATTTCTTGGTCCTTAGGTTCTGGAAGTTAAGTCTTTTCTAAGAAAGTGCTTGTTCCCAGACCCAGCTTCAACACTATCCTTGAGAATAGAGTAAGTGTTTCATTTATCTTCTTCCACCTTACACCCAGGCATACAGCAAAGCTTCCCTGGGTTTTCTAAAAAGAAATTTTCTAAAAAGAAGTTTTTGATTTCTTTGGAGGAAATAATATAATGTTCTCTTAATGAAGAACTTTTACTAGAAGACCTTGCAGTATACTTTTCTCTTTAAAAAGAGGTAGCTTAGCTCAATATTTAAACAAATCAGGCACTGCAGTACCTTTGGTAACTGGAAACATAACAGTCTTCAGCTCCACAAATAGGCAGCCAAATCCTGCCACATCTTATGTGTCACATCATCAGCTTCCAAGGGGACTTCACAGATGGGAGCATCCTGGTGGTCATGCTGTAATCACATGCCCACATGGGACACAGTGGGGACGTTGAAGCTGCTCCCAGGTGGGAAGGTGGCAAAGCCAAAGGTAAGCAGGGCAGTCATCATGGGGTGCTGGTCTGCTCTAGAATGCTGGGGCACACTTGTATGTTTCTGGGGACCAGCACTGTGTATACATCCTAGTTCTGTTGACACCCTTATGGGGACACTGAAACCAGATGAACTGGAGTACAGGTCAGTGGTGCAGGGGTGGTAAGAGGATTCACCGCCAGACAGAGTGGGGAGCAGAACAGGCAGACTAACAAAATACACTGCTGAGGGGAGCAGTGGGCGGGTCAGGAGAGGTCTGCTACGCCATGTGGGTCACCTCCCTGTCCAGGGATTGAACTCGCACTGAAGCAGTTGCAGCTAGCTTCATAGTGCTGTGCTTCAACCTGTTGAGCCACCAGAGGGTCCTCGTGATTATTTTCGGGAAATAAACACAGATCTAATGTCAGCAGCAGCACAGGCTGCAGGGCCACTCAGTTCCCCTAACTGAAGAGAACTTTGGGGGAGAGAGCAGAAAAGTGGAGGAGTATTCCTTATCCTTGGGTAGTATTATCACCACTCAGTTGTCAGAAGCCCAAAATTCTGACCACCCAGTGGCCCTTGAGCTTTGTTCCAATTAACTTGGAACCGCACTTCCTTTAAGCTTTTGCCTCATTGGGAGAGACCAGTCTGAGCCTTTCCACCTGGTGGGTGTCCACCAGGCTGCCATCTCTATGGCTCCTCTCTCAATTCAGGCCACATCATGACTTTCCCTTCCATAAAAACCCTTAAGACCCTTTCTGTTTATATGGGTATAAAGACAAACATAATCCAGAATGGACTCACGAGTAAGTGTAGATGTTTTTCTTCTGATTTCTTTATTTTTGAATTAAAGTAGGTATCCTATTTTGAATGGGGAAAAACATTGTATATTAACACAATCTTGGGAAAAATACAGAGGGAACCTGAGTGAGAAACGTTTTCTAGTCCTCGCTGTGGACTAAAGCTCCTGTCCACTGGAATTAAGCATTTGCTGTGTGGTGTGAGTTTCCTGCACACAGGAAAGAGTCCTTACTTTTCTCTTAGACGTGTCGCCCCACTTTCAGTCCTTAAGGACAGCAATCCTCTACCAAGCCCCTCTCTCAAACAGCTGGTCTGTGTTAACAGGCAGAGGAGGAGTGTAGTCCTCGCCCACCGGCTTCCTTTCCCAAAACAGCAAACATCTCAGATTCATACCTATGGTATTCACTGTTCCAGAATTTGCTTGCTGGATGCATATTGTTCTCCCTGCGTGTTTCTCTCCTGAGAAGCATCCCAGCAGAGCAAGGTGTCAGGCTTTTCCTGGAATCCAGGTGCTTGTGGCCAACTGTATCTAGCTAGTCCACACAGCTAGCTCCTTCATGGTTCCAAGCCCTCTTCTGGAGCTGGGGGAGGCTGATCCCACAGGAGTACCTGGCTCTGAATAACTTATCTGAGAAGACAGCAAACAGCTCAACTGAAGGTTATGTTTGTTAAGAATTCCCACTAACTCTATGCTGAAGCCACAGCTGGTTCCTGCGGACCCCACAGCCGGCCCCTATAACCGCCCCCCCCTTCACCACCTCCTCCCCTCCTCCGCCTACCCTACCGGGTGCCTCCCCGCCT